GGTTGACGGCGTACGTCAATTGAATAATATGGCAAAACAAAATATCTATGGCAATAGCAAACGTTACTGGGCGATCTGGATCGCTTGTTTTACTAAGAAACCTCTCTATATTTTTTTTCTCTCCTATTTGGTATTGGAATGCCAAATGAGCACATCGCCTTCTAGTCCTAAACTAAGTAGTGCTTGTGTTATAGGTTGTAGATAACTGAAGTTTTGTTTTTGTTATTACATACATAATATACATAAAATGAGTTGGAAGGAAGGAAGCGGTACACGGCTCTTATACACATGAACATGAAAATTATAGACATTATTTTATTATGTTACACCCGCGATACCACTCGTACGTTGCAATGTAGGAAGATAGTTTTATAAAGGTTTAATTTTAGTAGTGGTTTATTTTTTTCTAACTGAAATGCTAAACGAGCCAAAGGGCGACCTAAAATCTATTATACCAATATATTTTAGGTCACCCTTTAGCTGAACGTTTTATAAAGGTTTAATTTTAGTAGTGGTTTATTTTTTTATAAATTGAAATGATAAACTAACTGATAATCTAAACTACATGAACAGTACTTTGGACATTATAAAAATCATAATTTTATTTATATTACTAGTTTATTAGATTAGTTCTGTAATTAATTAGTAATAATAATAATAATATAATTATCTCAGGACAATTCACACAGCGCCATCTAGATCCAAGTTAAGGTAGCTAAAGCTTGTGTTATGATACTAGATAACTGATACAAATACATAGATTTTTTTTTTTGTAAAAACACACGTATTATATATACATAGAAAACACCCAAATCGATAAAAACAATCATACTCATGAATACAAATGTTTGTGCCGTGCAAGGAATCGAACCCGCGACTATCGGTCGTAAAGCGGTGTGCTTGACCGCTAGACCACCGAGGTCGTCATTAGTATTGTTGATACATGAGGTTATACGACTGTACCAAGAGTTCCCAGATTTTTTCAGAACATCTTATTAACAAATATAGCCACTGTAAAAACTATCGTAATTGAAGAATCGAAAATCCCGTAAAGCGGGACTGAACTTGTCCTGAATGGGATACATATTATTTATCAACAAAAAGTAATCCGCCAAAATCGCAACATCTGGTAACACTACAGTACTATGTAATTCCACTATCTTACATTTCATACTCTAACACAGCTAGCGAAATAAGCTGTTGGCTGACAGGTTTTGTACATCTGTGTGTCTGTATACTATAAAGTTAGTAAAATTTATTCTTTACTAGCTGTGCTCGCGGTTTCACTCGCGTGAAATTTATAGCCTATATGTTATTCTGATGCATAAGCTATATTACTGCAAACTTTCATCAAAATCCGTTCAGTAGTTTTTGCATGAAAGAGTTCCAGACATACATCCATACTCACAAGCTTCGTCTTTATAATCTTATGGTACTTAATAATCGATTAGTTCAATATAATAGAATAGAATAAAAAATTCTTTATTCAAATAAACTTTTGAATAGTCGTACGTATATTTTTATTCGGTTTATTCATTATTATCAAAGTTTTATTAATGTTAAAAGTTAAATTAAGGGTACTCACAACTTTGTATTACCTGCGGGTTCCTATTAAGCGGCATGCAGACGCACCAACATCCGAATGTTGAGCCACTCAGCACAAAAAGTAAAACATTGCAATGACTGCCTAGGGCCGTCAGGGACAAGAATTGAAGGATATTCTTGGGAGCAATGTTTTTTATTTATTATTAGGTTATTAGTAGATTACTCTTCTGCTGGATTCTTACAGATTTTCCCTAGTTGAGCCACCTATATGTATATGACATCATTTCTTCTGCTGCATTCTTACAAGTTGGCCCCAGTTGAGCCACCTATACACGGCATTTGTTCATCTGAGCAACTCATAGTGCTAACGCTCCGGCGTCTGTACTACGCTTAAGCTCTCAAACAGTGATTGACATTTTATGAGCTGTCATCATGATACGGGTGAATTGGCTCCGAATACTGAATCGATATGAAGGGACTACTGATTGTAGAGATTGCTAAGTTTGCAAGTAGGTCAGGGTTCCGATACAATTCTGTTATAATCATGTGTCGATATGGCTTCGTGAGATTGAAGCTGGAGGAAATGTCAACCTATCTGGGAATTGTAATCTCTGTATCAAACGATTTCGAAATGACGATATAACATTTTGATACGGTATTGAAACTTTCAAGAAAAGAGCTTATTCCTTTTTAAAAGGCTAACAACGTACTTGCAATTCCTCTAGTGTTTCGGGTGCTCATGGGCGACGGTAATCACTTGCCATCAGGTGAGCCGCATACTCGTTTGTCCCTTGTGTTATAAAAAAAAAAACATATTTTGGTACCATTACGTCGTAAAGGTAACTTAAAGATATATTTATTTTTGGAAATGGACTTTAAATTTAAAAAATTAGAGTAGATTTCTCAATAATTTGTAACTATATTAAAGATATATGATTTTTGGAAATTTTATATTTAAAAAGTTAGTAGACTTCTCAAAAACAATATTTGAGTTAATATAGTTTATTATTAAGTGTGCAAACGTATTTTTTTATGGATGATATTGGAATGGTGCACCCGCCTGCGCTAACGGTATACGCTGGCGGGGCACCAGTGGAGGATTATAAGATAAACATGAGGTCATGTCAGTTAGCCCATCGTGACAAATTCACCAAGAATTTATTTAGATGGTTTTTGAGAGGGAACCGCGTGGATAACCTGATATGGTACATTGGTAGTAATAAGATCATCAGTCCACATTACTAACGATCACATTTCCCCCCTGTTCAAATTTGTGTATTTGATACAGTTTTAATGTTATGCAAAAAAAAAATAATACAGTTAAAGCTGTTATAGTAAGTTTGAAATCCTAGTGAAAAAGGAGTGTAAGTGAAGTTATGGCGATTTTGAGTTTATAGACAGTTTGTTGAGTAGGGAGATAAAAGTAAAAGTATAAAAATAGAATTATTTATATTATGAACCGGGTCTTAACACGAATAATATTATGGTAAATAAAGGTATTTACCTCTCACCATGTTTCGAATAGGTGCCATAAAATTATACGTATTGGATCCGATTAATAATATAAATAATGTATACTAAAGACGAAAGTTTAAAAATAATTATAAAAATAGAATATATGACAAAACACCAGAAAAAAAAAAGAATAAAAGTACTTCAATTGAGTTTCTTGTCAGTTCTTCTCAATTGGATCTATATACCGAACTGGTCAGTGGGGAGAAAAAAATAATATAAAAAAATTGACGTTCATAAGCAGCTAAAATGTCCTACATGAGTAAATGATTTATAGATTTGAATTTGAATTTATGATGATAATGATGATGTATAGGTTTTTTATCTACAATTTTTTTTTATCTATCATTACATAGTATGAAACAAAGTCGCTGTCGCTGTCTGTCCGTCCCTATGTGTGCTTAAATCTTTAAAATTACGCAACAGATTTTGAAGCTGTTTTGTTTAATGTATAAAGTGATTCATGAGGAAGGTTTATATATATATATATAATACATGTACACCAGGGCGAGTAGTTAGTAAATATATAAACGTAACAGTCATAATTTCCCATCAGATGAATGTTTAGGATCATTACCTTTTCAGTGGAAAAATAAATATTCCTCGAACTCTTCACAGAGGCACTGTCACGTAATCAATTTAGTATAAAAAGGTACGTATATTACGAATTTTCATATTTCGACTATGTTCCTTGGGGAAATTTATTCAGTTACATGTCTGAGTTTTGGCTTGTATCTCTGACCGACACATTATATACTAGCTATCTGCCCCGGTTTCACACAGGTGTACATGTATTATAAATATAAAACTTCCTCTTGAATCACTCTATCTGTATGTTATCAAAAATTGCCTGAAAATCCGTTGCGTAGTTTTAAAGATCTAAGCGAACAGACGGCCGAAAGTGACTTCATTTTATATTATGTAATATGACCAACATATCCATGTTCATGCTATGACAGTAGCTGTTCATGCACGGGATTTTCCTTTAATGTTAGTAATAAACACGTATATAACTAAACAATGTAAACGAACTGGTTTCTAAAAAAGAAAAATTTCGTTCAGATTCTTTCTATATATGTGCCTAGTTATATATTTAACTACATTAATAGTGCTCTCAAATAAAATCTTATATATAAAATTCTCGTGTCACAGTTTTCGTTCCCATACTCCTCCGAAACGGCTTGACCGATTCTCATGAAATTTTGTGAGCGTATTGAATAGGTCTGAGAATCGGCCAACATCTATTTTTCATCCCCCTAAATGTTAGGGGTAGTCCACCCGTAAATTTTTTATTTTATTTTGAGGAAAATCACGTTTGCCGAAACAGCTAGTACTATATATAATAATAATATCTTGGACAATTCACACAGCACCATCTGCACCCAAAATATATGCATAATGTACATTTTTTTTTATTTTTAAATACAATTTTCCACAGACATATTCGTCTGTGCCTTTTTTAATTTACTTTAATATTATTATATTTCTTTAATTTCCACTTTTGTACAACTCCAGCCGAGATGTTACAATTTGCCTAACAGTGACACCGAGGCAGACCTTATCCGTCTGGCCCAGAACCACCGCTGGCCGGCCGGGTGAGTTGACAACATGCAGTGTCACCCATCTTCATTAGGAGGATTAGATTTACCAATATGCATATACAATTATATAAATCTTACACTACTACTAATTTCACAGTTTTCATTACATTGTGTTGTATTGTTACATTATGAATTCTTACATTCTTGCATAATGTACATTAAATACCTAGATTGATGAAAAACAATCTTACTGCTAAACACAAATGTTTGTACCTTGCGAGAATGAACTCGAGACCATCATCAGTAAAGTGCTGTGCCAAACCACCGTCATTCTATATGAAACATGCCTTTGTAACTTTAAATTTATGGATAGTTAAATTCCATTTATATAATTTGTTTCAGGAATTTCCATTGCTGCGTTTTTGGGATTACCCGCTGCTCGTTTATTTCAGCCAGCAACCACGAGGTAAATTAATTTTCACTACTAGTTTCATAGCGTAAAAATTTACTTCCATAATAAATGAAAAGTTGTGGTCATAACAGCATATGTTTTATTAGCGATCCTGCTTCGCATGGATGCAATTTTTTTTTGGGTTGTTTAGGCTATTGTCTGCTGTTTGGACCTGTAGCACTGCGACCTACATAGATCTGTCGTGCTGGCCCATTTTCAGAGTTCGCTACCTAGACCCGTCAGCGAGAAGAATTGAATGATATTCTTAGGAGCGATGGTTTTTATCTCCTCAGGATAGAGTGTAAACTTACAAAAGGAGATATTACGTTTATGCATGAGTGGGCTACAACCACATAGGATGTGTAGTGGCGTTTCCTCTTCAGTTTGGCAAATCTGCAGATTTTTGCAGTGTTCTGTAAAGGCCTGTAAAGTCATTCTGCATATGTTGTTTTTACTCAGTAGCAATAGTCTATTGAAGTATTTCGATAGAGTAGACCGATATTAGGCTTTTTGAATGTACTAATCATGGTTTTTGCAAAGAGATCTAAATATTTATATCACTTATCTATCTATTACCTATAACACTACCTCGGCTTTGGTTGGGACTAGATAGCGATGTGTTAATTGTCCAGGGTTATTTATTCTGATTTTTACATGTGTTATTTTCTAAATGTAGTCAAACCCATGAGTTAGTACAAGTGACTCATAATTGACATTGAACTGCACATCGTCTACAACAATACGAACATAACATAGTACTTCCTCGTTTAAACTATGCACTCGTAATAACATCATGTTACATTTATATTCATTCATATGACTCTCACAATGAGTTCGGCCCTGACAGTCGTACGGAATAGATCTGTGGCTAGTAGTTACAGGCAGTTTGTACACTGTTTTTTTTAATATTTGTATTATTTTGATAACATTTTATAGGGATACGTTACTGCTAGCTTATCCACCATTCTTTTTTTAAATATTTGTATTATTTTGATAACATTTTATGTGGATACGTTACTGCTAGCTTGTCCACCGTTTTTTTTTTAAATATTTGCATTATTTTGATAACAATTTATTATGGATACGTTACTGGCAGCTTGTCCACCGTTCTTTTTTTAAATATTTGTATTATTTTGATAACAATTTTTTATGGATACGTTACTGGCAGCTTGTTCACAGTTCTTTTTTTAAATATTTGTATTATTTTGATAACAATATTTTTTGTATACGTTACTGGCAACTTGTGTACCTATTTTTTTTTAAGCTTGTTCACAGTTCTTTTTTTAAATATTTGGATTATTTTGATAGCATTTTTTATGGATACGTCGCTGGCAGCTTGTGTACCGTTCTTTTTTGAAATGTTTTTATTATTCTGATAACAGTTTTTAAGGGTACGTTACTGGCAGCTTGTTCACTGTTCTTTTTTTAAATATTTGCATTATTTTGATAACATTTTTTATGGATACGTTACTGGTAGCTTGTGTACCGTTCTTTTTTGAAATGGTTTTATTATTCTGATAACAGTTTTTATGGGTACGTTACTGCCAGCTTGTCCACCGTTCTTCTTTTAAATATTGGTATTATTTTGACATTTTTTTTATAGTTACCTTAGTGGCAGTTTTCCATCATGTTTCACACAGTCCATCTATCTCTTTTTCGGCATTCTTGTGCTCTTATCACCCACATTCATATATAACACCTTCTTTAAAATATTATCTTCTGGTATCATCCTAATAGTAACAGACTTAAAAAGAATAATATAAGCACTTAGCTGTTATAACATAAAGATTATATTATTTAATGTTTTTTTTGCGCTATAAAAGCTAAGTGCTAATGTATCTACAGTACATGTAGCTAGCTACAGTATTTTATCAGATTCTACGAGGAGGATGCAGTGGAGGGTTACGTCAACATTTGTTACTCAAACACGCTGCCAATATCATGGCTTCGACACTGTGCTTTCTGTGCAAACATTTTTTAGAGCGCTCCCAGTACAAACACACGTACGTGCAAACTGCGAGGCATGTTTTCATAGAGATGTGTCAACTCGAGCTACTAACTCGTGCTGTGTGCTGAATACGAGTTACCGGGTTTTAAGAGGAAATCCCTTCATTGAAACGTTCTCGAATCGCCAGTGAATGGACGTGTAAAATGTAAGAAATGCTGGGATTCATTTTCAGTATATAGAAAATAAACTCGTTACTGAATAATATTTAAAATAATCGCTCAGATAAGAATAGTTAACCTGCAGTTATGCATGCTCTCCTTAAGTCCTTCCACCGGTTTGTAGTTCATTTCTACTTGTCCCCTATGCTTCGGTAACGTCGTCTAAGCCAGCTGCAGCCAATAACATTACAATAAGTAGAAAAATTAAAAAAATAACTGTTTCTTCCTGGAGTCGAGTTAACTCGAGTTACCTGAATTTCAACTCGAGTTAACTCGATTCATGTTTATTACGAGTTAGAACATCTCTACGTTTTCATATATACATTTATGTATCAGATAGATTTATTCGATTTTCTATGTAACTGGAAGCAAATATGCGGCTTACTAAGGTGGCACTCATAAATTGTGTATCAGATCGGCCAAGTGTTATACACAGTAACTGTAACTGTACAGCAACGGTATGAAGAAGTCACAAAATACATGTTAAAAATGATGAAATCTAGGACTGGTAGGAGAGTACTTAGATTTCATTTCAAAAGTATTTAAATTCAAATTCAAAATCAATTATTCATGTAGGACATTTTAGAAGCTTATGAACGTCAAATTTTTACATATAAATTTAAAAATTTTCCCTACCGTCCAGTTCGGTATATAGATCCAATTTATTATAAAGCAATACTTTGACTGTTATGTCAATTCAAATCTCTCTATACCAATTTTGAGCTTACAGCTTTATTTAGAAGAGCAGCCCGCAAGTTGTCTTTCCATTCTGCTCAATTGAATATGTATGCTGAACTGGACGGTAGAGAAAAATATTAACCCAAAAAATTTGACGATCAGCGACTAAAATATTCTACAGAAATAAATTATTTTTGATTTGTTAAATCTCAGTTCTGAATGTATTGCAGAAAGGTTTAAACGGTGACAAAATATAAAGAAATTGCATGGAGAATAGTAAAAACAACAATTATACTTTCTCATACAAACGGCTGATACCTGTCAAACAGGATTCAGAAAATTATTGCGTAACTAACTTCAAAAATCCTTTGATATATTTAATTTTGAGATGAAACATAGTTCGCGAGGTCTGCTAGTATATATGTAGTAAATATATACATGTGGGAGCTAACAGAATATCAGCGCTGCAGATTTATCTGTAGCTATATGCTGAGTTGGTTGTCTATTCACCTTTGAGGCACATAATGTCACCTACATTTCTTTTATTTACATTTTTGTTTATTTCATTATGCGCTGTATCTGTAATTGATGAATGAAGAAATTATCTATCTATATCTAGAAAGTATATATGCGACGGTTTGATATAGGCAACGCCGCAGGATAAAACCAGTTGAAATTACAAAACGCATTCTGCAGTTTACAATGAGATTTACACAGTATAATATACAGTGGCACAGTTTCGCACAACGTCTCGTGCCGTGAATGCTGTGAAGCTTCTTTTGTTTGGTGACTGCGCATTCCCATTTCAGACTCGATCTGTCAGGCTTTATGATGCGGTAGGTTGTTATATGTAGTTGCATGGTGATATTGTTAGATTTAGTTATTTTTATCCTTGAAAAATTCACACAGCACCAACAACCAACAACAACTCCTAACTGGAAGGTTGGAACCTGGTGGAAGATTGTTCCACCGCCAGTTAAGAGTGCAAAATCATTAATCACCTTTAAAAATCTCTACAAGAATTATCTGTGTACTATTTAACCTATAAATGTTACGGCGAAGTGGTATATGTATATATATATGTTTAATGTTTATATTTATTAGTTATAATATTGTTTTAATTATTATCATTAATATTTTAAATAAAGCCATCTCTCTCTGTCCCTTTCTTATCTGTATATATAATATAATAATAATTATAACCTCAGGGCAATTCACACAGCGCCGTCTAGTCCCAAGTTAAGCTATCTAAAGTTTGTGTTACATCCATAACTACATAACTGATACAAGTACATAGATTTTTTTTTCGAAAATACATATATATTATACATAGAAAACATCCAGACCGATACAAACAATCATACTCATGAATACAAATGTTTGTGCCGTGCGAGGAATCGAACCCGCGACCATCGGACGTAAAGCGGTGTGCTAGAGCGCTAGACCACCGAGGTCGTCGAAAAAATATATATATATATATATATATATATTCCTCGTTTTGGTCCCACTGTAAACCAGCTGTATGTTCACATAGGTCATACAATAAAGCTGAGTGGAGCCATTTCAGTGCCTATATGTATGTAAAAAATGATTATTTTATGTTTGCTTTTAATTATCTACATGGTAAATTAAGTTTAATTATACAGACATTTTATTTAATCTTTATTTTCGTTTGTTTGTTTTTTATATACCATTGTTGAAAAGCACTGAATAAATATTTTTTCTTTCTTTCTTTCTAGTCCTAAGCTGGCAGACCTTATATCATGAGTAAATAGGTAGATAGATAAAAATTTTATTCAAGTTAAAGGCACACACAAGGCACTGTAATATTAACAACAAAAATAAAAAAAAACTACACAATTACATTGGTCAGTCAACAAAATACATGCGAGTGATACCGCGACCACAGCTAGTCAATAAATAATTTAGACTTCAAATCTAAAACGTGAATTCGACAATTGCGTAGTACAAATTTTGTAAATTATAACAAAGTTTAATAGTAACAATTCAAATTTATTCCATAAACAGAGTTACTTGTATCTGAAAATTAAATGGCTTGTTTCCTTGTTGAAAATTGGTCAAAGTTATAATTTGGATGGTAATTTTGTTCTCTGATCTTTGATGTTTATTTCAATATAGACTAGCTGTGCCCGCGGTTTCACTCGCATGAA